TAAGGTTGTTATTTTCAGTTTGGACTGCAGTTCCAACATCCAACAAATTAAGCTGAGCTGAGACATACTATAGCCGGTCACAGGGTCACGAAAAGGGAAAAGCGCCTAATGTGCTGAACGCTCATTGTGTACATAATCAGCGCGCTCAAGGTGACTAAAGGTCTGCAGAGTGCGTGGGTGTCACACAATATGGACAACATTCACAAACTCCATAAAGGAGCAAATGACAGTGCAGAGTTGCAGTTCAATTATTTATGAATCCTTCTTTTTTCTGCCTCTGCAGGGCATATTTTTCACATCTTAATTACTGTTATACGGTTTGCTTTGTATAGTGTCCCATTAAGTGCTGAGGTCAGTATGTGTGCAGTATTAAGTATTAGACTCAAAATCACTTAACTCAACATGACTGATCACTGAAACCTCAACAATCAACTTGTGTGTAATAAGATTTAGAAAGATGGTTTTTCTTTTCATGAAGGGGGAGGGAAAAAAAAATCTTGTGCTACTTCTACTGACTACATTTTGGTTTCTAATGAGGTGCCCATACCGAGCTGAAATGAAGATCGAGCGTGAGTTCTGAGATTTGTTTAGTCGACATTGGAGAGATACATCCATCTCCCCCCCAGTAAGGACTCATGGTTCTGGTGAAAGGGCAGCCAACGGACTCAGGAGACCAGTATGAGGAGTGCTGCTCTGGTGCACGTTATAAATCACTGTAGCTTACACAAGATGCCAAACCCATACACACACACCTGTGTGTGTGGGTTTGGCAGTTTTGCCATATGACAGCAAAATAGACAAAAAAATTCATACCTTTGGAATGTTTTCCCATTTTGTCACATTACAAATACAAAGTAAATCATTTTTTCTAAAACAGAAAAGAAACACTGCAATGGTTTTTCTACATTGTTTCACAAACTAAAACCAAAAAAACTGTGGCCTGGACTTGATTTTATTTAGGGTTACTCAAAGTAAAAGCCAGCATAGCCAAGCGCCTTCAGAATGAATCTGGTATATTGAGTCAACCTTTGTGTAGAGTAGCAGAGATCTTAGGAATGGGCAATTTTAAGTAAAAAATAGTTTACAGTATTTTGTGTTATTTGTTATTAAAAGAAGCCATTAAAATACTCTGCAGTCTATTAAGCAATTATAGCTTTGACTGTATGTCACTCCATACAATCATAACCTCACAAACACAGCTCTTAAAGTTCCCTGGATACTGAGACAGTTACTTGTTTTTTTTTTTTTTTTTTTTTTTTTTTTTTTTTTAGATCTTTATGAGAAATTT